CGATGCACTTGTTACTAGTAACTTATTGTTTCTACTAGCTTCTTGTTACTAGTAGTAAGGCACTTGTTACTAGAAGCGATGCACTTGCTACTAGTAGCTTCTTGTTCCTACTAGCTTCTTGTTACTAGTAGTAAGGCACTTGTTACTAGAAGTGATGCACTTGTTACTAGTAGCTTCTTGATTCTACTAGCGCAAACAGTCCTATGCGAAGGACGAACGCGGTCCACGTATAGGACCCTCGCGCGGTCGCGCGCCAACCTCTTTGGCTTCGCTGCTCGAGCCCCGCCGCTATGGTCAGGGGTGAAGCGCAAAAAGGGACATGTCGTGACGCTATCCTTGCATCACTACCATCCTCGTGGCCCTTTTTGGACTCAGCTGAGGATGTCATAGGCTGGTTCTTCACAGCCAAAATCCCACGGCCAGTTGTTCTTCTGGGCCATGGTCTTCAGTGATGCCACGTAGGCATCTTGCATCTCTCGAAGCTTCTGCTCCATGGCGCGCTTGCGCACCTTCTTGCCAGCTTCAAACTTCTCATCGTGTACCAGCCTCCAGTACTGCTTCTGGCTGAAAAACTGGAGTAGGGTCTTTCGGGCCCCATACTTGGTGAGGGAGTCAGCAAGTTGCGCCAAGCCGTTCACCCACCTCAGCTCGGTCGCTGCCTTCAAGGCCTGGTTGACGGCCAAGGTCAGCTCGTATCCTGCTCGGCTGTCTCGAAGGCCGCGCAGGCTGCTGATGTTGCGGGTCATGGCATCATAGATGCCTCGGCTGTCCATCACCAGCGCACCAGGCTTGCCGTCTCGTGGACAAAGCTTCTCTTCACCTCATAGCCTCCAAACTCGGCCACCATCATGCGAATCTGGAATTTCTGGTCTTCGCCTTCGCCAACGGTGATGGCCTGAACCTCGGCTCCGTTCGAGCCTAGGCATTGCCGCGGCGTTTTGCCGCTCTTCCATTGAACCACAGCAATCTGCACCTCCTCACCTGCCAGAGCCTCTTTCACCGTCAGTCCGGCGATGATGCCAACCGCGCTGCTCTTGTCGGGGCGGTTGTGTTGGCTTGCGTCGGCCCATGTGATGACTGCCAAGTCGCTCACATCCTTGATGCTCCAGCTTGAGGGAAAAAGAAGTCCCTGCCCGGCTTCTCGCCTCATTTCTCTCACCAACTTGCTGACCTTGTAGAGGGTCTCGACGGTGCCCTTGCTGATCTCGCTCAGGAGGAGCGATGCCTCTGCCAGGAACTGCGGCGCCGATTGCGTCGCCCTCCAGGAAACTGTCCCCAGGGCGGCTCTCATGGATGAGATCTCGGCCGCGTTCAGTGGGGTCTTTCTTGCCTTCGTCTTGTCGACGTTGATCTCCTCGATCCATCTGTTCGTGTACACCTCTTGGTTCAGGATGGAGTAGTCCTTGTTCTGGATGATGGTGCATCCAGCGAACTCGAAATTGTCCTCGTTCCATCGTCCCCAACGGAAGGCCTCATTCAGAAGGCGTTCACGTGACCTGAAGTGCTCGGAAGTCTCTGCGCCACAAAGCAGAAAATCATCGACGCGCAGTCCAGCCAAACCGATCAGCTTCGGCTGCTGATCTCCAGTCATGGACTCGGGCTCGTAGAGCGCAAAGCAGCATTTGTCGCTCAGCAACTGCCGCCATCCGGCCTCCACCATCGTCTTCACACAGCGCTCCCACCATTTTCGGGGAGCATGGGCTAGGCCGTAGAAAGCTTCTCGAACTCTCAGAGCCTTCTGCTGTCCACCTGAAAGGCAAACATCGCGCTCAGCTCTGGTGGCGCCAGGACATTCAGCTCCTCATCCTCCAAACTAATGCCAGTCTGCAGAAAGGCACTCGTCACATCACCGTCCTTTACCTTGAACTTCAGGCTGGCGGCCAACGAGGATCAGGTTGCGGCCAACCTTGGACATAGTTGGCGAAGCCGTGGCCACTTCTGTCAAATTGTGTGCCATAAAGCCTAGCGCCACTAAGCGGGCTTTTGCAGACCCATCGCTCTTGCGCGTCAGCACCCAGCGCATCTTCATCAGCTGCTCGGGAGTCACCTTCATCTCTTCCTGGGCGGTCAGATTCCGCAGCGCTCTGCTGATGGCCACCTGCGAGAGCTCTTTTGCCATGGCTAGGTCGTATTCCTTTTTCTCACGCAGTGGGAGTCGCTGCCATTCTACTTCTTTGCCCTTCTCGGACATCTTCTTGCTCAACACGACTCCTCTCTTGCGACCCTTGTTCTTGCTCAGCCGTGCGACGTCACTCTCGTTCACCTCAAAGGAGCACGCCACAAAAGTCTCTTCTGGAGGTTTCTTCCTCTTCATCCGGCTTGGATTTGCCGGTAGCTTGGAATCGCCGTCAACCATCATCAGCTCTTCGCTGCCGGAGGACAGATCCTCGGGCTCCGAGATTGAAGATGTAGAAGACGAAGAGGAACCTTCAGGTACGGGGACTTCAGCTCCAGTCGGTGCTCGCCTTGCCTCGTAGAGGTCGTAGAGGAATGTTTGGCCATCTCGGTCTTGATGATGCCCGTAGTGACCACCTGGTAAATCACATTCTGGCACTGGACACCTGTTGGCTCCCGATTGGCCTCTGAGTGGCAGATTGTCCACAGCGTCGGGTCCACGCTCTTGAAGTGCTGTCCTCAGGCCCGATGAAGATGAAGTTGCACCTTCCGGGATCTCTGGTGCCTCATCCATGTCGGCGGTCATCTTGTCATCCTTCTTCTCCTCAGGAGAGCCATCATCATCGGCCTTTCTCTTCTCACCTTTGGCTCTTCTCACACGCTGTCTCTTAGCAGGAACTTCTGGGACCAGTTCAAACCAGGTTTCTCCCTTCCATCTATCTTGGAGGTTTCTGGTCTCATCGATCGTGTCGTGGATGGTCACCTCGTCACCGCCATGCAGAGGGCGCACAACAGTGCGTCTGCTTCCCGCCAGGTCCTCGATCTTCACTGGGCAGTGGGTTGCTCGACCTGGATTGAAAAGAGCAAGTCGTGGAAGTTCATGGTGTTTCACCAGGTATCGTTTGCCTTCATGCCACTTCACTGACCAAGTGTCGCTTCCATGTTGTCCTCGAGGTTCAAGAAGTGGAGTAGAAGCTGAGAGGTCACCTCGTTGAAGTTCTTCACTTGGGACATCACCTGAAATGTCCATGTAGTAGCGACCCTGGAAGCTCCTCATCAGCGCCTCAAAGGACACTGGATTCTTGTATACAGCAGTGCCCTCCAGTGATGCATCCAACTCCTCTCGTCGTGAAGTGGGCCGGATCTGGTTCACCTTTGCCCTGATCAGAGTTATCGTTGGAGATGGTCGATCATCGTCAGGCCTGAACCACGATCTCGCCAGAGAATCAGCATTGTGCTTCACGCCAGTTGACTCCTCATGTTCAAAGACATCTGTTCCAAGATGCTCATAGATGGGCTAGGTCTTGGTTTCGAGGCCTCCTTGCGCTCGGGACACTCCAACTTGCTGGCTATCTCCAATGCCCAGCCCGGGGATCCTCTTGCCTTCAGGAGTTGCACCAGGTTGGGACCTCTGGCTGACCTTGAACAAGCGATGCGATCGGTCCCATGAACATGCTGAATGTCGAGGACAGGCAGCAGAGGCCTCAAGCTACTATCCAAACGCGCTATGCAAGGATGTGGTCAAGGGCATGGCACACCAATGGCAGCAAGAGAAGAACGGACTGGAAAAGTCCGTCGAGGCCTATCTCCTTGAGGTTCCCATCGGCACGAGCGAAGAGACCACGCCCGCGCTACTCCCTGAAGAAGGACATGGCGAACCTCCTGGACTACCTCCGGAACCCCAAGTCCTGGCAATTCCAAACCATAGGCGCAGCCATCAAACCCGGATCCAGTAAACACTTCGTCCATGCCGCCGGATGGAGAAAACCAGTCTCTTGATTGCTCGGGATTCCCATCCTGGAGTATACCTGGCAATGTCGTTGCCAGATGAAATGATGGGTTCCAGTCCTCGAGCGATCTCATCACACCTGGAAAGGTCTCGTCCACGACGTTTCAGGAAGGCATCCCATTGTTCGGGCGTTCGCTCCGTGAGTTCACTCGGCCGAAGTGGCCTCTTTCTTCACCTTCTTCTCTGCCGCCAGCTCGTCGATCTTGGCCTTCGCCTCCTGGAGCTCCTTCTTCACCTGTTCGAACTCCGCCTCGTTGATAATGGCCACCGAAGACACCCGCGAGCTCACACTCATCGGACTTGCTGCTCGCTGAGATGGCGCTGCCTCCTCCGTCTTCACACTCTTGAGGTCGTCGGGTCCTGTCTTGGTCGATGGCTTCGGCGGGCTCTGGCGAAGAGGAGACACCGCCTTGGGGTACGGCGTCATCTTCACAGTCTCCTTGGCCGGTGAGCGTGATGCTCCTGCCATCAATGCCTTTTGCAGGGCTTCGTTGGCTCGGACTTGAACAGTCGTCCGGCCGCGGCCATGCGTCTCCACCACAGTGCGGCCTCTGATCTCCAGCTGGAGTTTGCCGTTGAAGATCTTCTCCGTGACCTCGTGCGCCTTAAGGGAAGGACTCCATGAGCTCCTGTTGAGCGAGTTCGACTTGGTCGGGTGGAGGTCCAATGGCCCGGTTGTCTCCGGTCCCAACGCCCTTCATAGTGTATCGGAGTCTCAGGCCACAGTGATTGCATGCCTGCCAGGCCGCGTACTTGTTGGTCCGCTGCTGTCCAGGCACGTGATGCCCCATGCATGGCCATCCGACATGGCCCTGGTCCGTTGACGGCGGACATGTCTTCATTCACGTCGAGTCGCTGAGCCAGCTTGCTGAGGCGGTCGGACAAATCATTGGCGTTCTCTTCTTGCGTCACCATCAGCGCTCAACCACCACAAACAGCAGACTGACAACCCCCATGGTGTTCTACAAGATCGTGTTCCTCTTCAGGTTCATGGCCATGCTCATGTACTGCACCATGTTCATGCGCATGCGCTTCTCCGTGTACATGACTGCCATGCGCTTCATGCGCATGCTCTTCTGCAGCAGTTGATTCTATCTCACGAGGCCTGGAATCCTCGCTCGATCACCACATCCGAATCCTTTTCCTCTTCTCCTGGCTCTTCCCCAGTGGGGTCCGGACGTTTGCCAGATCCTTCATCAATTAGATGTTCTGGCACAGAAGGGGTGTAGTTTGATGCAGCACCCGAATGGAGAAAAGCGGCGGCTCTCAGATGTTGTTCTTGACGTTCGTCATCCCTCTGCTCTCGTTCTTCTTCCATCTGATCGTATTCCTCTGGGGCATTGAGAGGGACAACAGTCGGTCCAGCCAGCACACGTCCGGTTGGATCACGCTTGGCTCCCTTGCCGCGGGTGGCTCTCTTCTTCCATGGTGGAGGTTCTCCTCCAGGATCAGAGTCACCTCCTTGATCGTCTTCTGGTGACCATCGCGCGCTCGGGTTTGTGCTGAACCGCTTGAGGAGGAACTCAATGGGCAACTTGTGCTGGCTCAGGTCAATGGTTAGATGACCACCCGGCGCGGACCACAATTGGCTGACCCACCAGCGTCCGTCACCTCCTCGATGTGCGAGGTAGTCTCCATGGTACGACACCATCGCTCTCCGTGCTCGAAGGATCCGTGAGCCGATCAGGAGGGGCGTGTCTTCTGCGCCTCCATCCAGCAGGAAGAACTCCATGCCACCCATGGCACTCGTGGTCACGTGGCACTTGGACACCGCTCGCTGATGCTCACCATTGCCAAAGCGGAACCTCGGTCTCGTGTCCAGCGAGATGTCGAGAAAGTGACCTGAGTCGATCAGCCGGGACATGGATCGAATGATTCCGTGGCTCCAGTGTCAATGATCGCCTTGGTCAGCGACAGCTCTCCAAGGTTCGTTTGCCCTCCGCCAGGCTCATGACGTTGATCTCGTAGTACGGGTACTCCGGGTTGAAGTCGATCCAGAAGGCCTTTCCGCCTTTCCGAGCTTTGCCACCGCCTTTTCCTTTGCCCTTGAAACCCTTCAGAGATCCTTTAGGCGAAGATGTCGGTGACGTTCTCCCCGATGAAGACCCGCGAGACCACCTGTCAGGGCACTTGGCGTAGCCATGTCCGTGTTGACCGCAGATGAAGCACGGTCCCAGCCCAGCTGATCCGCTGCCCTTTCCTTTTCCAAAGGCTGACTTGCCCTTGCCTTTGCCCTTTCCGCCAAGGCTACCAGAAGGTCCTCCTTTCATCCCGACCGGACTGTAGTAGCCCCTTGCTGCTCGGACCTTGGCGACGGCCATCTTCGCCTCAGCTAGGGTCTTGTTGGCCTCAGCTGCGATGGTGTAGGCCTCTTCCAGCCTTTTCTCACCTTCTAGTTCTTCTGGAGCTGGATCATGTCCTTCATCTTCTCCCGGATGTTGACCGTCACCGAACTCAAACTCCGTGGTGTAGTCTTCTTCCCAGTAGGCCGGAGACCAGTCATTCCAATACGCGTCTTCTGACCACCAATCAGATTCACTAGGCCACCAGTCCTCCTCGGCCTCCCAGTCGTTCACATCCTCGTTGAACCAAGCTGTTCTGCGAGGCAGCCGTCCATGATCATCAGCTTGATCCGCACCATCAGCAAACAAAGATCTCAAGGCCTGTCTGATCTGGTTGAAGTGCGTGGAGTTCCGGGTCAAGGTCAGGACGCGCTGTCGTTCGGCCTGGCTCAACTTGGCCGCCTTCAGGAGGCGATACCTTTCGAGTTGGCCCCGACACTGGTAGGGGCCGGATGGATACTGGTGGTCAAACAAGACCAGGTTGCAAGAAGAAACCGCTAGTGAATCAAGCCACCACGCGACGATCGTGGCTCTATGAGCAGCTCTCAAAACAAAGGTTTTCCACACATGGCGATCCGCGCACAGCCCGTTCTTGAGCTGGTGATTTCGGTCATCACTTCAAGACATGAGCTGGAAGGCAAGCCATCACAAATTCTACGCGGCTTTCGTTTTCTCTTTGCTTCCAACTCAGCTGATTCTTCGTCCGCAGCATGCGTTTCCTCTTAGCCGACACAAACTCAGGATTGAAGATTACACCTATGTGGCCATTCTTCAAAAGAACAATCAGCTTGTCAACAGAGAACATCTTCGTCAAATCACCCCCAAACATTTGATCAGAATCAACCCATCGGAAACCAGTTTGGGTTCTCTCGCAACTCTCCCGAATGGACAGCACGTCCAAACAAAGTCGCTTTTCTTCAAGCTGTAAACCGGAGGACAAAATTCGGGTGATGGAGTCATACATATTTTTAGCGTCACAAACCATACATCCACCTATGCTCGCCACGGCCGAGTCCGTCGTTTTCGAATTGATCCCTTCCTTATGATGCACATTTGTCTCACAAACTCATTTTCGTCAACGCCGTTTCCACATGATTGAATTTCGGCACAAGTCGAAGACCTAGCAACACGTTTCAGTTTTCTTGAGCGCCAAGCCACCAAACTGAACGGTGCCTTATGGCCTTTGAGAACCTTGCGATCCGTAAGGAATGTCAGAGTTCCTCCCTGAGAGGACAAGTCAGCTCTGTTTGCATGCGACGCGTCCGTGAACGTAAGGAACAGCGGTTCGTGGATTTCTCTAGCAAAAGTCAAACCAAGTTCACAATGAGCTCTCTGAAGTCTACAAAGTTTATTAGCATGTAGAAGGTCCTGAACTTTGGCTGTGTTTTGGTGTCCTTGCAATATCGATGTTGAAGCTAAGATCCACGGTGCAGTCTGAGTGCCTCGCCAGGCAAGACTGCCCAAAAGTCCTCGAAGAGCCTTCTTCTCATCTGGACTAGCATCATCTTCTAGAGATTGCTTTCGTTCTTTGCTAAGATTGATTTCATTGATCCCAAGTGCATATCTTTCTTGTTTCAATTGAATCCCGTTTTGATCTTGACTCAGTTCGCACCCACAGAAAACAACCTTTTCTTTGTTGGGTTCTTTCCAAGAGCCAAAAGGAAAAACGGCTTGCAATCTCTTTATACTTTCGTCATACACGTGTCCTTCGCCACCACATACCACGTCGTCCATGTGGATGCCCAGGACACCGGTCAGCCGATCTCCATCAAAAAGACGCCACACGCAATTGTCCAGGGCGCATGGAATCCAACCTAGTTTCCTGAGTTCCTGAGATAGTTTTTCCATCCACCTACGAGGCACATTTAAAAGTCCATAAAGGGCCTTTCGAATCCTGAACAGTTGTTTTCATTCATGCCCAACATGTCTTTCACGTCCTTAGGTGGGTCACTATAGATTTCCCTGCTCTCTTCAGTGGGATCGGAATTCAAGAAGGCAGTTTTGATGTCCCCTAAAGATAACTTCCAGTTTCTCATGGAACAAATGCTCAAAATGAGATTTCTTCCTAACACTGAAAGTGTGGGAGCGTCCCTCGGAACTTTGAGCAAATCAGGGTCTTCAAAACCCTTGACAATCAAGCGTGCCTTGGCCTTCTGACCTGTCACCACACCGTCTTCGTCTGTGATGTTTTTCCAAACCAAAACCCATCGCATTCCAAGAATCCGACGGGGATCACCCCCTTGAGAGTGAGCAATTGAAACAGCCATGTTTTCAATATAGCTATCAACTTCCTTCTTTTTGGCCTGAAGGAATTCCTGTTTCTCCTTTTCAGACAATTGTTTAAACTGGATTTCGGCTCCTCTCTTAGCTTTAGCGTTCACAACCCAGCAACCCTTGCCACGATGATCGAGGTGAACATCTCGAGCACTCAAATTCAAAATGATTTCCACACCATTACACTTAGTTTCCTGAGCGTTAAACAAGATTTCTTCCAAGTGACTTGGTGGAGGGGTTCGACTCCTGCGTTCTTCTCGAGATGGGAAACCACTCGCGACATCACGGCTTCCATCTGGGCCATGCGCTGGCCCAGCATCTGGAGACCGTCCATCGTCTGGTCCAGCTGATTTCGAACGTGATCTCCGGGATGACATGTCGTGAGGTTCCATTCGATCTCGCTCTCGTTGTCGGTCTCGATCTCGGGTGTCTTCTCTTTCGACAGGCTCGAGGATGCCTGAGCTTTGGCTTTTGCGAAATCTTTTGGCTTCGGGGTCTTGTAGCCTTCGGTCTTCGTCTCTTTTCCGGCTTTGGTTGTCTTTCGACTCCCTGATCCTTGCTCTTTCATCATCTTCTCGGCCATCAGGTCGACGAAATGGAGCCAATGATTCCATCCCTCTGTGGGGTTCACATGGGCCACCGTCCACTTCACGTAGGAGTAGTCTTTCTCCCACACGTCGAGGAACTTCTCCCCTTTGTGCTTGCCGATGGTAAGGCTCAGGTCCTGGAGCTCTTCGAGACATTTCGCATGGCTCCTGGTTTGGAATCCCTTCCAGAGCCTTCAACTTCTTCATCAGGTCGAGATTCACGGACCGGTTCGACATGAATGCTATCGAGCACACGAGGGTCAACCGATTGTTTCCCAAGGAGCTTCTGTCTCTTCAAGGCTTGATCCGGGCCACGAGAAGTATCATGTTCAAACTCAAGGTGATGAGGATCTACGCGCCAAGCAAGGTCGTCACGTTCATGCACTTCAACTTCAAGATCCGGAGCTTCGTTTCTCAAATCAAAGTATTGTTTCTTCGTTTTGATCAAGTCTTCAAGCTGGTTGCTTTCTCTCAACTCAAAATCAATCGCATTCAAATCTCTAGATACTCTTTGAAGTTGTTCAGGTGCACATCTAAGCAGCCTAGTTCCATGCGTGATCCAAACAATTGAACCTTCTCGACCCCTTTCGCTCTCCGTCGTTTTCTCAATACACACAACGCGTCCGGGTCCATACCATTGTCCTCGAGGCCGTTCCCCCTTTCCTCTACCTTTTCGGTAGTAGAAGACGAGGGTTCCCACTTCAAAGTGCTGATTTCTACGACTCTGGTGCAATGCGGCTCGTTTGATGCGCTTTGCACTGTCACATTGAATGAAAATCTCTCGAGCTTTAGCCACCTTCTCAATGTTTTCTTCAAAAGAGGGATGGCTTTCGTTCATGCTCGGAAGGTTGCGGTACATATCCAAAAAGGAAAAGACTCTTTCAGAGTTCTGTCCAAAAGCCCATTGGTTGGGTGAATATCCTCTACAATTGCGCACTTCATGCTTGGCGGACAGACACAGTGAAATGATCTCCTCGTTCGTGACGTCCGGCCCAAGCTCGAATGCTGATTTGCTCATCTGTTGTTTCAAGGTGTGTAGGTGACGTGAGTGTTTGCCTAGCTGCCAAGGTGCTTCTCCTGGAACCATGTCTATTTTAATTGTACTTTCCTCCAACCAGTTCAACACCTTATCTCCTTCGAAACACTTTTCAACATCACATCTCAATCTTTGGGGCTTGGGAAGGCAACGCAACCACGTTTGACAAAAATGTTGGATGAATTCATCACCAGAAAGGTTCCCGGGGGTATTCTTGTTTTCCCTAACAATGGAAGCCACATGAAGGTCCGTCGCTTCGTCCATGAAGCTAATCCCCACAACACACCTATCCACATCTTCCAAAGTCCTCGTGGGATTGGTCCACCAGAAGGTATCAATAGAAACCGTGTTCCACTTTTCAGTAACAGCCGGGGGACACGCGGGAAGTTTGGGGATACTATGTCTCTGCGTTTTGCAAGCATCACACTCAAACCGTTTGGCGATTTCGATGACTCGTTCCGGAACCTGAGCTGTCCTGAACGTGCGAAGCATCACATTTTGACTAGGATGTCCCAGATTTCGATGAATGATTCTAATTTTCCTAAGGGTTTCGAGGTCTTCATCGGAAAAATCTGGTGGCCTAAGCGTGTCTTGATCCCCAGGGTCTTCGCACATGGATGTGGCACGATCCGATGAACAAGGAACGCGGACACAGAATGAATCGGTACCGATGGTAATATAATGCAGGCAGTTCATTCAGACTCCTTGTCTCCAGCGTGGCTTCCAGGTCTTCGATGTTACGCAGAAGGTCTGGGTGCTGCTGCTCCAGCATCTCGATCGTTTGCGCATAGAGGAGGTCATAGTGGTCTTTGTCCTGACCTATTCGAAGACCTGCTTGGCCGATCTTTGCGGCTAACTCATCTCGCAGTACTTTTGGTAGGTGTTGCGAGGAGGTATCGGCATGCGCCGTGCCAGGAACTCCTTTGCGGACGGATGGATGTACCGTATGACCGCAAGCAATCAAGACCGTGAATAACAAGAGGGTAGTCATGTACATGCGCACAACGATGGACAGAAGGCCAAGTGCAAATAAAAGCAAAACACTTGGGAGTGCGCAACTGCATTAAATCTGTCTTTCGTGTTGTCCAACAGCAATTTAATCTTCTTGGACTCCATCTCTGGTGATCAGCCAAGGCACAATTGCCGCAGCACCCGAATCGCTAGCGAAGATTTTCCACGACCTGGACCTGCTGAGATGTGGTAGGCACGACGGGAGCCATGGTCCGGCAGCTGTTCGGCAAAATCCTGTGTGAAGGCCTGATATAGGCAGGCGATCAGCGCATCTTCTTCCTGTCCATGTTGCGAAAATGTAGGAGTGAGTGGTGTAATGTTTTTTTCTTGGCGCGCGGTTTGCGCACGCCGTGTGACACAGAAAGCTGTTACTACCAATGAATTTCGCTGCTGTAGCCTTGCATGGTGTGAAAAATGACCTTTGTGTGACTGGCCTGGACTGCGACCCCGACGGGAGCCATCGCACTGCTTGGAAGACAATCGGCAGGAGATGCTGATCCTTGTTCGTCCTGCGAAAAGATCACAGAAACTCACAAACCTAAGTTGACAACATCTTTTCGTCGCTGAAGTAGAAACTGTCCTGCGCCAGCAGCTGTTAAGGAGTTTTTTTTGTATCCGGGTTGCCAAAATGATCCGGGTTGCCAAAATGATGGTGTAGATGTAGCCTAACTCTAACATAACGATTTCCTCACAAGAGTGTCCCTGTGAGAGTGTCCTGCAAGACTTTCAGGACCCGCAAGGCGAGTCCTGAGAAGAGTCTGTCTGAGTTGTTTGCATGAGCGCTCCGCTACCACAAAAAGAGTGTCAAGAAGACGAGTGTCCTGCAAAAATATATCACCACACCAGGCTCACCCTGACCATTGGTTGCAAAGCCAATCCATACCTCGAGCCATTATCCCAATCATATTACGTTATCAAATTATGTTATCTAAGCCTGTAAATATATCCCTGGAAAAAATAACAAGAACTTCAAGGCTGCTTCCTCGAAAAGAAAAATATCGTTGGAAATTCTAATGCTAAATAGGGTGCGTTTTCTAATGTTTTCCACAGGGTGCCCAACACAGCAGTGGCAGGCAAGGCGAAAACGAGCCGCTGGCTCTTGATCTTGCGAAAAACAAACCCTTGCTACACAGAAACTTTTTTTTTTTCGCAGCCCTCGTCTTGCTTCGCTGGTTTACTCGACATCCTCTACGGCGTGGTCTTCTGCGCGAGGCTCTTCCTCTTCAGGGTCTTCCACATCAGTGAGACCGGGGACTGGCGGCACCTCGCATTCAACAGGCTCAGCAGTCTCACCATCGGCTACCGCCTCATTCGGAACCTCAGTAGTGGCTACCTCATTCTGACGCTCAGTGGTGCTCGGGTTGCCAGCACCTGCGCAGTCACTTACTACTGTAAAGTGAATTGGGAAGATAGTCCTGCAACGTCCTACCAAAAAAACACCTTTGAACTCAGCATGTGTGGCCATGAGCTGCCAACCTGGCACAGATTGCGCTCGTAATTCCCTTTCCATGGCCGCCTCAAAGTCATCACCGACTCAAAACTCAGAACTAAACCTGGTAGATTCTTAATGATGAGTCATGACATGAGGATCTGGCCATTGCATCGCGAACGAACTCCACAGAATCACCACGTAGAAGGTGCTGTCGGCCAATTGCCTCACCAAAATTGGATGTGAAACGGTGCGTTTGGAAACAGTCACTGCAACTTTCCACAGGCAGCGCAATTAATAAGAGAGTTGGACAGTGGATTTACGATGTTGAACTACTAAGCGGGCGACTGCAATCTCTTTCACACGCTCTGGGTCGAGGTCAAGTCCCCCCACCTGTCCGCTTCAAAGCGACACACAGCAATAAGCAAGCAAAACAAATAAGACAAAACCGCTCGGAGCCACACCCAAGCCTGCCTGGAAAGCCTGTTTGCCGTTCAGCTTGCAGGCACACTTGTTTGTAGCGCCGTACCGGTAGACTGTACCCACTTTGCGATTGCCAGCCTCGCCGCCTGCGCATTGAATCAAACACCTACTACCTCCGTTGTGTTTTGAACCTAGTGGTGCCTTGGGTCCGCTCCACTCGCCTTGTGGGTGAGCTTCTGAAGATTCACGACCACCTGCAAGCCAAGGTCGAACACCCCCGGCCCCCACCTATCGAAAGCTTCAACCATGCATGCCTTCACGAGCTTCTGGTTGAGCGGACTCTGAAGAGTCAGGCATGGTCACCGCCGACGCGGCTGGTCGTCTCAAAGCTGACGGGCGTCTCATTACAACAGGGGCACGCGAAGGCTCAACAGGGCCCGCAGGTGCAGGCACAGAATTTGCTGATGATCCGCCTGAAGCTTCTTCAGGTCCTGGACCTGGAGCTGGTCGCTTCTGAGGTAACACTTTGACTTTTGCTTTAGCTGCGGCGTCAGACTTAGGAGCTGCTTTGGGCACTGATTTCGCCTTCCCCTTAGGCGCACTTCTACGAGGAGGCTGGCCAAGAACCTGCACACGCCATGTCATGATGGACAAACTCACTCTGATAACAAAGGTTAAGAAACCAAACTAGACCTTCATTCAATCTGTCTGCCCGCCTGCGTCGTGCCAGAGTCTTCGTCAGACAGGTTTTCCACGGGCGCAAACACACTCATTGAATCAATCGGAAAAGTTTCCTACACTCACACAAAGCAGCAGCGACTAGGCAAGAGCTCCAAACACCTGCGTTGCAAAATCAAACACACTTAGTCAGGCCCGGCTTGATTCAGCGGAAACCCAGCTGGCCATTCTAATTTAGTAGTTGCCTACGGGTGAATGCAATCAATGTTCTGTGAATCCGATCATGACTTTTCTTCACATCGAACTGCCAGCTCCAAGGGTCAGAGTTGAAATCACTCCTCTTGCCAATTTGAGTGAGTGTTGAAGGAAAATCAAAACTGGAGCAACAGCACACACCACACTTACAGCTTGGTCCAGGTGTTCGGTGGCAGCTTCAGCGAGGCGGTCAAATAGATCTTTGGCTTGACGCCGATGATCTTTGCCACTCCGGAGCCTGTTTGCAATTGGACCTCACAATCCCAACATGCCACATCAAGGGCTTGTCGGTCTATGAAAATTATCTGGAGTCACTACAGGCTGAAAAGCAACGCTCACAAAACAATCAAGATACCTCCCAAATGATGCTCGCGACATTGTTCTTTGGCACTTTCGGCATGTGACCCACAAAGGCTGCTCCAATGGTCGAAAGCTTGTGCTGCCTGCTTCAATCTGCTTCAGACAAGTCATTTCCGGACAACAAAGATATACAAAATATATCAAACAAAATATGTATATATAGCAAGGTACGCTAATTGCCTTCCACTGTCAGCGGGCAACGGGTTCGGCTTGAACACATTGCACTTTCCGTTTGCGGCAGGGCTCAAATTGAACCTGTAGGGCACTGGCAAGGCTTCCCCATCATCACCAGCCTTGACACAAATGCACCCAGAACACGCAACCCAAACAATTCAACTGACGGATGCAACGCCAAGCAAAATCAAACAATGTACCGATGTACCTCATACTGCTTTTGGGTGAGCTGGTGGTTGGCGAGCTCAAAAGAAGACACTCCGTGCACTGTGCTGCACACGCGGGCATACTCTGCAATGCTCATGAGTTTCTTCTCGTGCGAAACCAAAGCAAGGTCCGAAGCAAACCTGAACGGGATGCCGTTCTTCTCTGCTTCCCCCAATCCTCAATACAAGCGGTGGCAAGCTGGTCACCAAACACTGTGGGCGGTGGTTTGGCGAGAAAAATCAACAAGAACAAAAACAAAGGTCAACGATTTGATACGCTAAAAAAAACTATTGACAGCCAAGCTGCCCACGACTGGCCGTTCCTCGAATTGACCAACGTTGAATCCGCAAATCTCACACGCCACAAGCGAGAGCTCCTCACTCGTCTCGTTCCCAAGCCAGAAGGAAAAGTCTTCCCCAACAATCACGGCAGGTTTTCCACGGCCACCCGGAGCATAAGCTTTCCTCCATGGGAAAACACAGCTTCACAACACGCATCAACAGGGGCACGCGGTAGAATTCACGACAAACGTCAGCCTACTGTTCTCTTGACCCCGCCTTCTTCAGCATTGTTACACCCCCCAAGCCCCTCCCAAATTTGAAATTGCGGGCCTCTCAACTGTAAAGGAATCGACAGGGATGTGATCCGTCATCTCTATCGTCCTCTCGAAGTTGAGCGGCTTGGCTCCACCATCAACCGTGTAATCAGGCCTGCCACTCGCACCCCTGGCCCCGCGAACTGAGACCGTGTTGGAACCCTGCGATTGTTTTCGTGCCACTGTTGCGTTCGGGAACTCGGCGGTCAACGAAGCCTGCATGGCCAGGATTTCCTGGTGTGCTGGATTGCCCGGCCCAAATTTCTGCAACAAGGACTCTGGAAACAATGGACTCTGATCTGACCAAGCGAGGATTGACAGCGATGGCTCTGGGACAGGTTCGGATGGCCGGGATTTGGGAGGTGAAGTCGGGGAGTTGTTCCAGTGCTCGTAAACCATGGCTTCCAAAGCCGTGGCGACATCTGCTTGATCAGGCTCACGGAGGCATCCAACGTAATGGATAGGAGGTCGGCGACTGTTGCCTTCCAGCTGCCTGCCAAGGATCGCACGGGCAAACTCCGCATGCCTGGCCAATGCAGAGCGTACGGACTGACACATCAATAAAAGGATTCAAGGAAATTCAACAACGCATAACATTCACGTTTGAAAGTGGTCTGCAAAGCTAGGATTCAACGACCACCCGGCCTGTTTGGCATGATGTCGGCCCACACTACTACATCTTCATCGTTGAAATCCATGCCCTTCAAGTACTGATTCACGATCTCTGTGTGAACCTTGATCCCCTTCCTCAAACAATGGACTTGCCAGCCAAGGGGGCCAACCACTGCACATCAAAAACACATGAAATTAATTGGAAATCGCTTGCGCAAGGAAAAACAAACGCAGGTCAAGGCGCTGCTCAATTCGCAACGCAGGTCCCCATTTCAAGTCCGGGTCATATCCGATCATTTCGTTCATCCGAATGAGTGGGACTGGTCCAATGGAGCCGGTTTGAGCAGCTGCGCTTTCAGACCACTCGTTGTTCTCGCTGCTGGCTGACACGAACAAGCAGGGGTGGGAGCCTTTACGCTTGTCGCCAGCGTGGCACTGCGTTTTGTCGAAGCTCAAGGTGACATAGCAGGAAATGTCCATGCCACCTGCCACTAGCGTATCTTCCAGCAACCTTCTGTGCTTGAGAACAGGCTCAATTTTTGTTTGGGCCTGGGACAATGGCATCTGGAGATGCATGCCATTTCGTTGGCTCATGGACAACAGCGAAATCGCAGTCTGCAAGCCCTGCGTCACCAAAGCGGAATTGCTGGGCCAAACGCAGGCGTCAAACGAAACCATGACAAACCTCGCAGTCTGAGGCCACTCAATGATCACTTGCTACTTGCTAGGCGTTAGAACCAAAAATCGAACAAAATGCAGCTATTGTATAGAACAAGAAACAATCGGCCAGAAGTGCCATCAAGCTTGGCGGACAGGTTGGAAATGAATTTTGCCACGTCAGGCAGTGCCGGCTTGACACCGTCCACGGGATTGAAAACCAGCTTGCACCATTGCTGCATATACTCTTTGGTGTGCTGCTGTCCCTTCCTCAAATGTAGGGGCAAGGTTTAGCTGGCTTCAAGCGTTGCTTGACTTCCATTGAAAGCACCCAAAAAGAAACCTGAAAAAGTCTTACACCATCTTGAACAAGCTTCGATTGTCTCTGAGCCAGATATTGCGCATCCAGCGCTGCCTCCTTCGCAAGCTGCACTTGCCCTGGACACCGTTCACGTAAGGTTTTCAGGTCTTGTTCGAACTGGTGACGGATTTTTTCCACTGTCGCCATGTCCACCTTCGATTCAAGCTCTTTTTGTTTCTCCTCCATTGCTTCCCGTTCACGGTTCTGCACAGTGGCCACGGTGCTCCTGTTTTCGTTGTTGTGCAGAAACAGCAGGCATTCATATTAACAAGTGCCTGGACAAACTGTCCCTGAAAACTTTTGTTCATGGCAGCCCAAAATGAATTACATCTTAATAGCAGAACTTGGTAGACTCAGAAGTGTAAAATCCACGGCGTCTGCAGAATATTTTTGTGGATAAACATCTTTAGACTTCGTGGTAGCGCGCGCAAACTGTAAATTTCAGGGCTTGTGGCAGGTACAGCACTTGGTCGAGATGCCATGGCAAGCATTTGCCGACGTGAAAAGCACCGATGTTTGTGGCAGGCACAGCGTCAAACACTGATTGCAACCCGAAACAGCAACCGATTCGGTGCCCCTGCTGGCTAAGCAAACTGAGAAGAACAATCATGGCAAACTGTTTGACATTGATGTTTTGGATGGGCTTAGAGGGGGCACTACGGGTCTTTTTTCGTGGCCGGTGCGAAAGTATTTGGTTTGTCATGGACTGCAGCGAAATGGTTGACTCGTAATACAAACATACAGACGACATACGTACGTTGACACACATACAACATGCAAGCCAAGCATGCGTACAAACACTGCAGCAGCCTTTGACCCCCAATTAAAAGTACCTTTTCATGGGGGGTTCAAAATCGATGGACATACACAGGTGCACACATACAAACTGCTGGCGTTCACACGTATTTTTGTAAGACGGACCCCCACACTGCGAGACATACTAGCCCACCCACCGTCCTGACAAAGTTCACATTGTTCAATGACACCGGTGGCACCGTCGTCTCCAGGAAATGCGTGATATCGGGATCGAGGATTGAAAGGTTGAATTGTTCCTTGATTTGGGCTTCTGCGGTCAGGTAGTCGCTCTGAGGAATCTCACGCTTCAGAGAATTCATAATTGCTAAGAACCCTCCACAACACGCGTGGAGGTTGAACGCGTCTTTGTAGGACCATGCCTTCTTCATCCCACTTGGAGCCCGGTCCCAGTCGCCCTTCAAGCGCTGGATGAAAAGCTTACCCTGCACAGCTGAACCAGTGGAGAGGTTGAAAGGACTTTAAAAAGACGAAAGCACCCTTGGTCGCTTATTATGCCCTCTCAACCTCTCCTGGAACACGCGTTAGACAACCAACTCAGGGAGTCAAACAATTTGCTATCTTTACTTTCAATGCGGCCAGGAAACCAAAACATCGTCACTGTCGTTCATGAGCTCTGCCCCCCAAGCTCCAAAGTTGGACTGCCCCGAGCTCCAACCACGGTTGAAAACGTCACGCGAGACTGCTTCGTGTGTCAAAAATTGGCGCATCCCTCGAACGCGACAAGCTTCTCGAAGCTCATGCTTCATGCAGTCACTCACTCGCTCTTGTAAATTGGACACCGCCAGGCTCTCAGCCCGGCCAATGTTGAATGCACGGGCCACCGATGTGGCATCCTGCCAATCCTGGGCACTGCTGCTGCTGCTGCTAAATGATTTATGAAGCGCTTCCCGTTGAACATACAAAAGCAAACAACACGCCCCCCGCACTCAATCGTTAAGCGCATGCCCAAACACATGGAACGCGTTCGTTTCCCCGCTCTTCTGAAGAATTTCCAGTTGCCGTAGGAAATTGAACGCATTCGGAGCACGCCTTGTTGAAACCGAGCTCATTGTCACTCCTGTCAGTGTTCAAGAAACTGGCACTTGATGACAAGCCTAGGCCCTTTAAGACTAGTTGTCATACAGGGGAAGAATGAGAGCTTGGCGACGTGCGCAAAATCTCTTACAGCAAAGTTTGTTGCCTTTTGCAGCGCTGAACACAATCGAATGCTCCTCGCGCAGCCCAAACAGCATCCTTTGCGCTTGCAACGGGGGTCACTGACGCATGCACCACTTTCAGAGACTCCTCCGGGCAAAAAGCAACAAGCATCTGGGCACCCAATGAAAACCGTGGCCACCTTGTGAAGCCTAGCCTTACTGATCAGAATTATTGCAAAATTCTACATGGACTTAGCCGACTTAGCCCAGTCCAAGTGGAAATCTGGCGTTCAGAAAAGATGGCCCCGCCTTAAAGTCGTGGGTGAGATCTGCAAGGTCAATTCCCAGTGTGCGGATGGCATCGCAACAAATGAGGCACGCGAGGCTCCTCCTCCACCCCTTCACATACCCCACTGAGAAGGGGGCCAAAATCTCACCTGAAGGATCGATCGGGAATCAGCTGCAACTTAAAATGTTGGTTGCAACATTGCAACATGTTTTATTAAAACAACCATGCCCTGAGGGACTCGCCGTCAAGAGGTGGAAGAGAACTCATCGGACTCTCTAGCCAGGACGCGCTCGGAAGCACAACGCTCAATTTCTCAACGCCAGGATGATTGGGGTCTGTGCGAAACCTCACGGGTAAACTGAATGACGGTGGTCTGACAAAGCGTGCGATTTGAGCGAATTCGAGACAAATGCTCTCAATCAACGAACTGTACAGTTATTGACTCTGGATAGCTCTTACACAAACACTGTACCGTCAACAAAATCTGAAAAACTCACGATGCAGTCACCCTTGGCTGAGCACCAACTCCATCAACGTCACCATATCGAAGGGATCTGACATCCCAGGCAGACCGTAGTCTGTCCGGAAGGAGAGGTGGTAGGGGCGCAAATATTTAGGACCAGTGGATAGGTCGTCGCTGTACTGCACCCTGGCCAGGCTTCAGCAATTAGTGTGGAGTTCTTTGCGATAAGAAACATGTCCCGCCTCCCACTGCTGCTTGCAGGAAAGGAGGCGTCGATCCAACGCGCAAAAGCCAACTGATCTTCCTGCCCATCGGTCTAACATTTGCGGGTGCGTTTTAGTGGTAGCCTGCGAAAATAAACGCCAATATAAAACTGGGGGTTCCCTGGGCCGCCGCTGAAAATGTCAGAACCAATCAATTGCGAGCGCTCTGTGTGTGTGTGGCATTCAAGTTCGATGCACTTTCTACAAAGTGAATTGACGCTATGAATGCCGTTCCAGTGCCTGAGTCGCATACTTTTGCATCAGGAAGCGGTCAGGCCCCCCCTGTGGGACCACGATGCTGGTAAACCTGGGCGCACAGGCACACAGTGAGCACAAACAATTCAAATTAAAAAGCAAACACAAAGAATTCATCCAAAGAACCAGTCCACAATGCGAGCAATGTGAGGCCACTGTGTAAGGGTGTCTGACGGCTTGGCTTTTTTCGCTGCCCCCTTTGCTCCATTGGAAACACGTTTCCCCATGACATGCACAAAGCACGACCTTTGGCTGAAAAAAGAACTGGCTGAGGCAACCCACACAGGACACCTGTGACAACCTGCCAAACGCGAGTAATTGCGCAATGACACGAAACACCTGGCCATCGAGGAGCACTCAAATGTTTTCCGGTTGCTGTGCACTATGGTTGCATCTGCACAGAACGAGCTTTCTTAAAGACCCATGTTCCCTCAGAGCCCCGCGCTTCGCTAAGCCACCTCAGGCCATAAAGCAAAAAAAGAGGAGTTACCACGGATGGAAGGTCAACTGCATCTCAGGGCGAACATTCTGGCGAGACCTGTTGACCAGTCGACGCAAAAGCCCACATGAAGTCTGTTAACAAACGTGTTTTTCCTTCCACCGAGGGCTGAGTCAGGGACTGTACTATATATAATGAAAGTGACACTGTCAGTCTACTTTCTAGTCCTCAGAGACACGTTGCCATTCCTGATCCTCGATCCTGCTCTCCATCTTCGCGATCTCTTCTCCAGTCATCACCCCCATCAAAGCCAGGGCCCTGGAGATTTTCTCCCGCGTTACCACGGGGTCAGGTGGGGCAATCAGCTCTGCCTCTGAACGATGTGGAGGCCGCCATGCTGCCGTGTTGGGGTTCGTGTTGATTGGATTCCCCCCTTCATGACGCCTGCCCAGCAACTGATCATAGACCATGTCAGCCTCAGCCTTCGCAAGAGCCGCCTTCGACAACTCATGATGTGGTTTTGCACCTCTAAGATCTTTGTAAAGCAGCGAGAAAGCTTTGGTCACAACGCTCGGGCATGCGCTTCGCAGGTGCTTCGCAGTTGCCCCTTTGCGAGGGGTGAAGGACAATCGCAACCCACACACTCCACAATGCACCCAAGATCCATATCCATTGCCTCCCTTGACGGTTGGGAGATGCTCCTGATAGCACGGCCACGACTCCTGTGATCGGGGATCTTGAGGGTCTTGCAGGTACGACTTTGATGTGTCCAGGTCAGGTTGGGGCGATGGATGCTTCAACTTGTACTCCATCGTCTTGGTCTCGGGACCCGGCACTGCCATCGATTTGGGTGGGAGCTGCTTGAGCACCAAAAGCTAGCTAATGTTTCGGCAAAAGTCTTTGAAACCCTTTCAATTTCCAAGCGGATCACCAAATAACAGTGACGCAGGAAGACCAGGGAAGGCAAACCCTGACTGAGCAGTCCACAACTGAAAGCGT